AATTCTGCAAAGAAGAGTGGGCCAAAATTCCTCCACAGTGATGTGAAAGACTCATTGCCAGTTATCGCAAACGCTTGATTGCAGTTGTTGCTGCAAAGGGTGGCACAACCAGTTATTAGATTTAGGGGGGCAATTACTTTTTCATGTAGGGCCAGGCAGGTTTGGACAGGTTTTTTCCCTTAATAAATGAAATCATTACACATTTACTCGTGTTATCTTTGTGTAATATAAAAATTAGTTTGATCTGAATCGTTCAAGTGTGACAAATATGCAAAAAATTTAAAAAACAGGACGGGGGCAAAAACCTTTTCACGGCACTGTATATGATTTTATATGCATTGCAGAGCTTCAATGCAATTTCTTCATTAATAAATAAATACGCATAAATAAATTCATAATGTTTATTACAGGTTTCAACTTTGATTTTACTGCATTTTGATTAAAATATACTGGGTGGAATTTTTTTTTTTTCCATTTTGCTTCTTTTAGTGGAGTATAGTGGAATCCTTGCTTGAATTTGCTAAAATTCTAGTTTAAGTCATGTCTAGTTTATAATGCTTCACGTGAGAAACAGACTAAAATGTAAGCATTTGTTGGATGAAAATCTTGCCTTGTACCATAAATGTCAATCTATGTATTCAGGCTTACGTATGTGTTTTGCGAGTACCAATGGCAAACACTTGATACACCGTTTAAATATGTGCAACTTGCAACAGTGCATGTGTGAATGAAAGCTAGACTTTCAGTACCGTAAATTACTTCATTTTCAGTTTGTTCCTTATGCAACATTTGTGTTTGTATATTTTCTGCCTGAATTAATTTCAAAAAGGTCCACTACCGTTCAAAAGTTTAGGGTCAGTAAGATTTTTTTTATTTTTTATTATTGCTTGTTTCAGCAAGGGTGCATTAAATTGATCAGTCAATATTTATAATGTTCCAAAAGATTTCTATTTGAAATAAATGTTCTTTTGAACTTTCTATTCATCAATGAATCATGAAATAAAAAAAAATTATCATGCTATCCACAAAAATATTATTATTTATTAATTTTCAAACAAATATTGCACATTGATAATAATAATAAAAAAATTTCCTGAGCACCAAATGAGAATATTACATGTGACACTGAAGACTGGAGTAATGGCTGATGAAAATTTAGCTTTGCCATCACAGGAATAAATTACATTTTAAAATATATATAAAAAGAAAACAGTTATTATAAATTGTAATAATATTTTGCAATATTAATGTTTTTACAGTATGTCTGATCAAATAAATGCAGCCTTGGTGAACGTAAGAGACTTCTTTCAAAAACATAAAAAATCTCCCCAAACTTTTCAACCAGTAATGTATGATTACATGCTAAGATTATATGATAGGTTTCAATAGGTATGTCACCTGTGGAGTGTCGGCCAAGTTTAAGCATCCTGAGAAACCTCAATAGCCGCAGCACCTGAACTACCCGTCCAACGTTCTCCAGCTCCGTAGATCCTCCATGCAGGCTCTCCACAGCCAGAGTCACATAGAAGGGCAGAATAGCCAGCAGGTCAATGATATTCACCACACTCCTGCTGAATCTACACTTATCTCTAACACACATGAACCTGAGCATCAGCTCACCGGTGAACCAAATGATACAAATGTACTCAAGAACGTCCAAGATGATGGGTGCACCAAGTATAGTGAAGTCCAGAGAAATCAGAGCCATGTTCATGATGGACACCATCACAAAGAACATGGATAGCGTCCCAAACGTCTTGGCCGCCTTAGAGGAGTCCGGCTTCTCCATAAGGTCCCATAGACGTTGCCGTAAGTCCTGGCACAAAACACCAGTGAAGTCCTCCTCCTCGTTGTCCATTATATCAGCATCCTTACGAATATTCAATGACTCCTTCATCTCTTTCCTACGGTAGTACTTGTCCCTGCAACAGCTGTCTATGCGGAGCTCATCGATGCCCCAGTACTCGATCTCCTGAAGGAACGAGATCACACACAGCTCCTCTCGCACATGTAAGTGACCGGTCTTGTAGAAGTTCATGATGTACTGAAAGGTCTGCGAGTTGCGGTCAAAGAAGAACTCGTTCTCCAAGAAATCGGCATCATCGCACAGATCTAAAGCAGAGTCTCGATTGGAGAGTGCCAGCTTTCCCAGGCGAGTCTCTGGGTGAGAGGCCAGCAGTTCCTGAGAGAGGATGTAGCGGCTGCCTCCGACATTTACAATGAAGAAGTCCAGTGGATCGTCGCTCGGTAGCGCGGGCTCGCTGTAGAACACGCTAGAGTCCAAGGACAGCAGCGATGCGTTGTCCTCGTAGAGCTCTACCGGACTTGATGAATCCATGATCATGGTGTTCTGGGTAACAGTGAGGCCTGAGAGACTCAGTGAAGGAAAGTGCATTAGTATGACAGACTGGAAAGAGCAGTATCAATAATAATGAGGATTTGGCTGCTGAAACTGACAGATATTTGAGCTTTTCATACTTTGAATCGTCTTTCTTGACCATGGGCGAACAAAACTGAGTTATCATGTTTTACACTGTTCTTACTTTATCATGGTTTGGTAAATATTCTTTAGTCAGGTTTTGAGATTTCACACTGTACATTTGTGAACCATTGGTTAATGGTGATAACAATAATGCACAAAATATATCTGGTTATATTAAAGAGTTAGTAATTCTGTCATCATTCACCCTCGTCTGTTTCCAAACCTGTATGACTTGCTTTTTCAGATATTCTGAAATATTAAAGTACAGGTACATCCCTTTGAAGGTCAGTGGGGTTCGATTTTTGTTTTTGACTTTCATTGTACAAAAATGGTTGAAAATTCTTCAAAATATCTTTTTTTGTGTTCCACAGAAGAAAGAAAGCCATACAGGTTTGGAAAGACATTGTGAGTAAATGATGACAGAATTTTCATTTTTGGGTGAACTATATCTTCAAGTCTTCAGAAACATGCAGCAAAAAATAATAGTGTCTCTGCATCACTCCAGTTAATGCTTTTGCTTTTTTTTCAGATCCTGGAACTTTCAGCGTTGCAAGTTTCTGCAATTGTACAAAGCACATGAATATTTAATGATGTAAGCACTGAGATAGTTTATGGTGTTTGTCTGCTTCTAAAAAACTCGCTATAACATGCAAGCAACATATTGTTTCACTTTGAAACCTGGAAAGTTTCATAACCCAGGGTTAAAACTGACCTTTAGTATGGGTTTAAAACAGGTTTAAGTGTAGTATGAAGCCCTATAGTGTGTGTTTTATCTAGCATCCTATCACACTACTTCATCTGCCTTACTATTCTCACATATGCATTTCAATAGATATAAAAAGACAGTTTGGATAGTCTGTGTATACAATTATATGCTAAGTGTAATACCAACTTATTGAAAGCTCTGTGTATTGAATGAGCAAATTCCCTTAATGAAAATGTTTTTTTCTCTTTTACGCCATCACTGGCAGACATCAGACACGGTGGGAGGGAGAAGAAGCCTTTGGCAGTGTCCTACTTCTTCAAAGCTGCGTTGAGATTTAAATATTTTAGCTGCCCTGTCTAATTAATTGAACTAATGGTACTATTCTTGTAATCATTAATTCTCTTTGGTAAGCTCCTCTATAATATTGTCAAGATGGTCATTTTAAAGCCTGCATTTTTAACAAGATCCCATGGGATGACACTAAAGAGATCTGAACACAATGTGAGAACAATACCTTTCAGAGATTTTATTTTCAAGCAGTTTTATTTTTATTCACTAAAGCAGCCCACTGTCAATGTACTGTACCACTGTAAAAGTGAACAAAAGCACTGCTGTTTATACCTCATCTGATCCTTAAAAATACTTTCATTAGAGTAACCCAATATACTCAGTCAGTCCAGTCACATTAAATTATATTTCTGATTTAAAACAATCAATCTAGATGTTACCATATTAAGTACATGTTGGGATTTTAAATTAACTTAGATTTAAGTGTTTGTTTTGTTTACATGTTGACAACATAAAAACATTAAGATAATTGATTGCAATGGAAAAGAAAGGATTGTGTTCTTTGAGATGGGCAAAAAAAAGCGTAGAAGTACAAGCAGACTTCATCTAAGCATTCTGAAAATAAAAACGTCCAAACTACTAAAATTATACTGACAGGCAAAATCTAGTTCAATGTTAAACATATTCAGTGGGGAACAAAAAGAAGAGGTTTGTGTAGATCCAGAGAAGTAACAACATCTAATAATGCCTGTGAAAATTCATGCACTGTTTGTCAGTTATTTTACAAGGTGCACCGTTAAAGTGATATCTGCAAGATTCTAAATTCATGTTTATATGAAATAAATTTTAAAAATTTTTTTAAAAGCTGCATTTAAATGTCATAAACTAATGCATAATTTTAAATACCAAACAAATATCTAAAAATACAGAAATAACAGTAACTGTGGACACCCACCTTCAGCCTATAAGCCTACACTGAAAGCTTGTGGGCTTGTGTGAGGTGAGCTGGATCCATCCGTCTCTTTACTCTGTTCCCACTTCAAAAGATGCTGCTCCTCTGTCGATAAACTGCAGTACATAATGCAAGCCGAATGTTCCAAAATGTTGACAGTGAAGAACCGATGCAGCTCACGGTTTCAAAGGTTCACCAGAGTTCGGAACAGTTCTGAAGCGCAGCTCGTGCACCTTTCACAAGCGTTTTAACGCACTGGAGAGAGTGCGAGCTATCAACCAATCAGGAGACATTTTCAGGCTGCTAGGCAACAAACTCCAGACACTTAATACAACCAGTAAAAAATTAGACGCGTTGTAATCGTCTGGAAAAAATCAAAGCCTTCGCTGTCACGAGATCTACGCTTGGATGCGCGCGCAGCACGTAGAAAGCAAACTATGCTTTCTTCTTCGTGGGTGGGTCAACTTTGGCCTTAAACCTACGCTTGATTCAAATAACTTTTCCCACACATTTCAAAACAAAGTCCATGGTAGTTTGGTAGTATGAACAGGGTGGATATGCAGCTGCGAGTTGCTTTACAAACTCAGATTTTAGACCATAAAACCTGACAAACAGGGTTCTGTGAGGTGAATATGTAGAGAAGTGGGTTATAGGCTAAAGGTTTGGCAGTCCCTGCTTTTAGGAAACCTAAAAATGTAGAAGCACATGACAGAACACTTCTTTAACACCTCAGGTGTTCATTTTGCTGGTTTTTAATGTTATATGATATAGGCCTACCGGATATATGAATAACAACAGCAGCATGGAATTAAATGTACAATCTATTCACTCTGATTAGAAAATTGCTGATCTCACTGCAGGCCTGCATATTGTATAACTACATAATGGTATAACTGATGGTGCGTTAATGAATGAATAAGTAATTACTGAATCAGCAGGTGAGATGGATCACAAATGTGTGGTAGGAGGACTGTGGTCAGAATAGCATACTGAACTATAATGTGCACACATTTCCTGTACACATTTAGAATACACATTAGCTGTGATCTTTGACATGTGTTTCTTGATTCATTATTTGGTCTGACTTCCTAAAGTTACAACATTTCTTTTGGATTAATAACTGCTTTTATGACGATAACCACTTGCTGAATGTAGCTTGCAGAGTGATTGTGTGGCAAAAATTAAAAGACACATGGTGTGTACCAGATGTAGTGAATGCTTTTGGAAGTGCTATTTCACTATTTCATGCATGCAGTATAAAGTAGCATGTTGCCCCCTGCTGTTGGGAAAAGTATTGCTGCTACAAGGGGCGTGTTTGTTTTGGTGATTTCAAATATCAACAATGGCTACCAGAAATCACTTACTCTGCCTTTAAGAACTGGAAATATTCAGCTGCCTAATATTATGTAAAAGACACAATTCCCTTTATTTACAATGAGCGAACAAAATGAAACAAATGAAATATATTTTATGATATTAAATTTCGTGGCACTGGGTATGAATCTTGTTGGATGTTCTAAATGAAATATTAATTATGACATGGCGCCAAAAATATGTGGACATTTAAGTCATTGAATGCCACATCTATTACTGTCGTTGCATTAGAATAGACAAATATAAAAAAATATAAAATGGCATCTAGACATGGACTAAAATTCGCTAAAGAAAAATCTGGATATAACAAACAAAAAAAGAACGATATTATGAGCACACTTTAAGCAAAATAGCACACACACAAACACACACACATACATGTGGACAATGTGAATGAATAAAGGATATTGGCTACATTTATTTACATTAGACCTATCTTTTTAATGCCACACGCCAAAGATGAAAACTCATAATTGACTGACCCACATGGTCCATACTGGAATATTGTTATTCTCTGGACAATGTTATTTACAGGCAACAGTCACCATTTACTTTAACTGGACCTTTTCTCCATACAACGAAAGTGAATGTTGACAATAGTGAGTGAGTTTGTAATTCTGAAATCCTAACATCTTCACAGTAGAAATAAAGTCTTACTACTTCGACACAACACGGGGGTGAGTAAATAAGAAAAATGTATTTGGGGGTCTATCCTTTTAAATACGTTTTTGTATCCGCGTGGTCACGTGATAGCCCGCCTCTCTTTTCAAACGCCATGTTTACTGCGCAGCTCCATCGCGACCAGCAGCAACACTAACGTACAGTGAGTATATATATGTATTAAAGTATGAGCCCATGAGGTTTATTGAGGCTTTACAATCTGTAATATTTTCTCTAAATTGTATGTTTACGTATACGAAGGCAGGACTTGCCACGATTTGTTGCAAAAGGAAATTTAATTGTGTTTTGTGAGCAAGTAGGCGGGACGAATATGCTAACGTTAGTCTGCTCACTCTGCTGTGCTATCAGTCCCGCGCCGCTTAAAAGCTTTGAGTCGCCAGATTATGTTTAAGTAAAAGTTTATATTTATGTCATTTGCGTTTTCCACCGTTTTCACATAGTTTACCTCTCCTTTATCATACTTTAGTAGCCTGTTAGCATGCGGAAGGTTTGTCTGGGGCTTATACAACTGGGATACAAACACGCGCCAAATTCGTTCTGCAGCAAGAGCGCACTATTGATAATGTGATTAGAGGCGATGAATAGAGCTGTTGTGTATGTGTATATATAAGTAATACACGTCTACTAATAGTATTCTGTTGAATTCGACGATTATAACACCGCGACGTGTCTTTTTATCCATTTAATTTAGGGTGCAACTGAGAAATTCCAATCATGAGTGAAGAAATGGAAGCTGTCAAGACAGAGGATCTTCCTTTGGATGGAAATTCAATAAAAAAAGGAGAGGAGGATGACAAGAAGAAGAAGAAAAAGAAGAAGAGTGCATCTGATGATGCAAAGCAGGATGAATCAGAAGAACCTAAACCTAAAATCAGGTCTAAACCCAAATTGTGTAAGTAATAGTTGATGTGAATTAAATGCCAAAGCTTTTATTTCAAGAAATGTTGTTTATGATGAGAACTATCATTATACTTAAAGTATTGTTTCTTTGTATAGAGTTTTTATATAATTTGAATTAAATTGTGCTTGGATTCTCCAGTAAAAAGTTACAATTCTTGGCCTTTTGTAATGTTATTTTAATTGTCTTTGCAGTTGAACCTGAAATTCTTGAAGGAAAACGGGAGAAAAAAATCATCCAGAGACTTGATTTGATGAGCAAACCGAAGGAAAAGCCAAAGATTGAGAGCACAGGAAGAGGTGCCAAACTGGGAGACATTGTACGGATTAATCACTCCATCGGAAAGCTTAAAGCGCCTCTTCTCAAACCTCTGCATAAGATTGTTTATGATCGCCCGGGAACTGTAAGGTTTAGTTTTAGAATTCATTTAACACATACAAATGGCCAAACGCATATGTTAATACAGATTATTTGTTAGATTGCAATTTGTAACTAATGCTGCTTAATGTTCTTACAGGCATCAACACTGCGGAAAAATCTTAGGCTGTTTAATGGATTTCCTTTTGGGGAGGAAAGTGACCTTTACAACAAAAAAATGGAGAAGGTGAAAAGGTAGTTCAATTAACTCGTTTTATGTTTTGTTTTTTTCTTCTTTAATATTTTTACACATCAGTAGAAAGTAGGGCTGCACGATATCGGAAAAAAACTCACATTACGATATTTGGTTTTTCTGCTATATATATATTGCGATATGAAAAAAAAAATCACCAGATAACTTGAATAGCTCTAGGGGGATCAATGATTGGGGTGATTTTGTAGGTGAGTAAATCAGCATAGAAAATAAACAAATTACAAGCATAGATAAATATAATAGAACAAAGATACAAATGAAATGAACCGTGCTTTACATTTTTCAGGTAAGTCTAACAGTATTCAGGTACAGAAATTGAATAATCAAATGTAAAATAACACTGCAAAGTCTTCACTGTATAAATTAAATCTAATAAATCTGTGTTAATGCTACAACATTTTCTCACACATCCATTTTCTTTCTCAATTGTTTACCTTCACCTAAGCCATAAGAAACTGTGTTTACAAGGATACTTGCAGAGACATGCATTTCACGTGCATCTGCGTTGCTCTCACTGTGTCTGCACTGGACGCGAGTGGCGCGACACGACAAATTACTATGAACCCATTATAATCAGTGATGCTGTCTACACTGGATGCAGTGCGGTGCGACACGACAAATCCCCGGCAATAAACTGATGCTGCGTTCTATTTATGACGTACTGACACAAAGTTCAGACAGGGGGTGGCCGTGGCCACCACTGACCTAAGCTTGTTCACCCTTTGGCCACCCCACTCAAAACTGCAGTTTTTGTTCCTTTTTTTTTCTTGACAAGAAATGCATCTATTAAGGCGCGGAACCACCATATCTCTTTATGACCACATCAAACGGGAGACTTTTCAGACGCATAACTGTTACTTCAACTTCGCCTCAGTGCCAGGCGCAAGTCAAACGAGCGCGGAAAGGAACATGTGCCAAATGAGCTTCAGTAGAACAACAGTGAACTGTGGTCTGCTGAGATGTTGTAGGCTATATGTCAGTAAAACACTTTTCTCTCCTGACAGCTGTTTTACCGTGCTCATGGCGCACTCTTCAATTTTACGCGAATATAAGGCGCACGCTTTCTATATCGCTTCATCATAAATAAAGTTAACAAGAAACTATGAACATACAATGTAGTTCTGTTGTCAGTTAAGCCATGAAATTACCAAAAAGGCAATTAGTGCATTCATGTATGTATAGCATCACATTAAATAACGTCTCTCAAATGCATGTACTAAAATATTGTGCAATTCGAGATTACAATATAAAGGCACAAGCTGATGTTTTTTTTTTGTAATTTAATGCACAAGTAAATATGAACACAGTGCACTTATACTAGAAAACATGCGCTATTTTTTTTTTTTTACAAACTAAAATGAAACCATTTAAATGCATAAAATAACTAATTTTACATTCTGGCATTTATGTGCTGTTGACTTCCGGCCTTTTTCTTTTTCTTTTTTGTATTAACCAAGTCTTATCACTATCATTCTGCATGTCTCATCAATGAGTCTGCAATGATAGTTGACTTCCGGCCTTTTTCTTTTTCTTTTTTGTATTAACCAAGTCTTATCACTGTCATTCTGCATGTCTCATCAATGAGTATGCAATGATGGAGAACAAGCTTTTGAGAACCAGAACCAAGCTGACTGAGCAATAAAGCTATAGTGAGCCCTTTTATTAAAATACTTGGAGGTGGGGAATAATACACAAATTGTTATATTCACTTAGCATTACTTGATCTAATTCACAAATATCTCAATACAATTTAGTAGAAATTAATTGTATTCAGTTGTGTTTTAGGCACTAAAACAGTCCAATACTTTATAGTCAATCACATTTTTATATTGAAATAATGAAGATTTCTGTGCCGCCCCTCCCTGGCCACCCCAATAAAAACATCCTGGCTCCGCCACTGAGTTCAGATGATTTGCAAAGGTCGCGTTGTCACATCCAGTGTAGACAGACTTTAGCGGTCCGACACGACAGATGTCACATCCAGTGACACGGTGTCTGTGTGTGAACAAAGAAAATTATCTTTGTTCACAATGTAGATCCTGCAATGTGACTATCGCAGATGCGCACATCGCGATATCGATGCTTAAACGATATGTGACCCGGGACCACAAAACCAGTCTCAAGTCGCTGGGGTATATTTTTAGCAATAGCCAAAAAAACATTGTATGGGTCAAAATTATCGATTTTTTTTGTGCCAAAAATCATTAGGATATTAAGTAAAGATCATGTTCCATTAAGATATTTTGTAAATGTCCTACCGTAAATATATAAAAACTTAATTTTTGATTAGTAATATGCATTGCTAGGAACTTCATTTGGACAAATTTAAAGGTGATTTTCTCAGTACTTTGATTTTTTTGCTCCCTCAGATTCCAGATTTTCAAATAGTTGTATTCTCGGCCAAATATTGTCCTATCCTAACAAACCATACATCAATGGAAAGCTTATTTATTCAGCTTTCAGATGATGTATAAATCTCAATTTCGAGAAATTGACCCTTATGACTGGTTTTGTGGTCCAGGGTCACATATATCGTGCAGCCCTAGTGGAAAAAGACACATGTGTGCTCTGATAGGTGTCATTGACATTGACAGACCAATTTTTGTCCTGTGGTTTATTCCGTGTCAACTTAACAAGAGGTCCCCGGATAATTATTTATCAAGTCAAATATTTGGTTTAAAGTGGGTGTGATAATGAGGCTTTTCTTTCTGTCAGGCTTCACAAGGAACAACTCAAAACCATTTGTCTGACTCTTGATCTGGAGAGGTCTGGAACGCAAATTGTTCTTTCAGAGAGGATCATGAAATTTCTCGTACATCCAACCAACTCAGGAAAGGTGAGATTGTCCTGTCTGAACAATAACAATGCACCTATATGTCACTGTACAGCCAATGTACTACTGGATATTATGGGCAAAATGTCTCATGAGTTTGTCTTTTGCTGTTTGCCAATGGCTTATAATGTGTTTACCGTCTACAGCCTATCCTAAAGAAGAAAAAGAAGTCGACCAAAGATGCCAAAAGAGAAAAGTCTTCATCCAAAAGTAAAAAAACACAGAAAAAAGTAGAAAGTGGGAAGTCCAAACCTATTGTCACTGATTCCAGTAGTGATGATGATGATGATGACGACAATGATGAAGAGGGTAAAGAGAACAGTAAGGACACTGAGAAGTCTGTGACAGAAAGTCAAAAAAATAAAGACAGTGGAGATAAATCATCTGACAAAGAGGAAGATGAGGATGATGATGATGCTCCTGAAGAGGACAGGAAGAAGGAAGAAGTGTGTGAAATTTTTTTTTTTTAGTGCAACAAGTATTTTAATATATATTCTTTAATATTTATGGTTTTACAGTTCAGGCAATATATTGACAATCTTACTATTTTTAAATTGTTTGTGTTGTCTGCAACTCAACAGAAAACTCCTCCTCAGAAGAAATCTTCAACCACAAAGTCCACAAAGAATTCTGAAATGTCAGAACAGACTGCATCAGATGAAAGTGACCAAGACGTTCATGAAGACAATGCAAAAAAGGTTATACACAAACACTTAGTAGTAATCAGGTCTTGAAAACATAAAAAAAATGTTTAAATCGCTTCACTCCGAGCAGAATCGATATTTTAACGTTTCTGTTCCTGTGTTCCTCTGTATTATTACCGTTCTGAAACCGGTTTGAGTAGAAGAAATACCGGTTAATAACGTTTTTTTTTTTTTTTATTTACTATTTTCTTTGCCTATAATAATAATAAAGTACAGCGTTTTCTTTACTCAAAAAGAAAAAAAACAGGAAGAGATCTGGTATCTTAACCCGCTGTGGTTAGTCACAGCCAATACAGCATCATCTTTTCTAGATTTTGGCCAAATGTAGGCTACTAAACAAAAGAAAAAAATCTGTTAACACTTTAAAGACATTAAAGTATTTTTTAAGATATTTAAATACATTTGCTGCATTGTTAAAAAAAAATGCTACTTGTAGCCTATAAGATTGCGTTTTGAGAGTGAAAAAAACAAACAAAAGTCGAGTAGGCTCACGTCGCATTTTATTATTACATTCAGAAATAATGCAGGCTAAAATGCCGGTGAAGCAAAATGTTTACAAACATTATAAACACAGTTATTAGTTTGTCTCCACACCAAATCCTCTAAAGTTAGGGCTATGCGGTTAGGCTATAAAAACGTCAATCCAACAACAAATTAATTTAAGGTGAAACTGATGCGTACCTAGGGCTAGGCGATATAGCTAAAAAATGTATCAACGATATAATGTTTCATATCATTCGGTATCGATAATTATTGACATTTTTATAACCTTTTTTAAAACAAAAAGCAATAGAAAAAAAAAAGTTTAAATTTAACCACTGTATTTATAATTAACACAATTTGAGACAAACAACAAATATTTTTTGTTTTAACAATCAAACACAATAAAAATTTAACAAATATCTAATTTCTAATGTTTTATATGCAGATTAAATAAGTCTTTATTGTATAGGTTTAATTGTCTCCCAAGGCCACAGGAGGGTGCAATGAGCTAAATAATGCAGCGCGTTTAGCAAGTAACTATAAAAACGTGCATTACGTCTAAATTAACTCATAAAAATCAAATATAATTTCGTAAATTGCATAAACAATTATGAACCAAAACAGCATCATATGCTAAAATATTATTAATTATAGGCTAGGCTTTTGTACATTCATCGATGTAAAACATCATCCTTCACATCGGCTATATCAACACAGTGAGGCGGTGGTCATGCTGAACGCTACAGATTGTACAACGGAGCAGTGTAACTTTTTATTTGTTTCTTTAACTGTATAATGAACAGGCTGTAATGTCTCAAATATGTTGTGTCCGTGTGCGCGTGAGGTGCCGGCGTGATATGGTCATACCAACGCTGGTTGGTTATACAGATAGAAGCAAGACATCATTCAAAACTGTAAAGCTTTTGCAAAATAAAGAAAACTACTGCCGTCTCGTTTTCCTTTCCGAGAACTTTGGAACGCGTCACAATGAACCGTAGCTCACACATTTTCTTTCTTTCGTTTTGTTAATCTGTCAATGATTAAAGTGAAATATATTTCGTGTATATGCCTATATATTCCTTTTTTGTAAGCCTATAGTTTATTCTGTTTTCTCCTCGTTCACAGAAGTGCTGCAGGTGCATGTGATCTGTTGAATCCATCTTACACTATCCTCGGATAAACTAACGCCGGTGCATTGCCATTGCAACTTACCACTCGCTAGATGCGTCAGCTCACATTTGCCTAGGCCGTACTACTGGAATTCGTGATTGGTTGACAGCAAATTTCAAATATTAAATGGAACGGATATTAAATGGAAATGGATAAAATAACGTTATTAGCCAGTTAATGGCCATTTAAAATTTTCGATTCTGTTCGGAACTATAAAATTTGATTTCGTTTCTGTTTCTGGGTCTGTTCCTGTCAAAATTTTGTTCGTTTCTTACTTCGTTTTAGTTCGGTTCAGAGCCCTGGTAGTAATATTTTTGAATTCTGAAAATTCTAATAAATTCAAGCTTATTTGAGCTTGTTGTTTTGGTCTGCATGAACAATTAGTTCATTTACAGCTTAATTAGACAATGAAAACTGTTTTATCTGTGCAAGGAGTTGAACTGCCTCTGAATGAAACTGCAAAATTTCATTTATGACACAGTGATTGTAGCAGTTTAGATTGACAGATCTGCAGATGCTCCAGAAATGTGTTCAGTTTTTATGTCTGATTTTCTTTACTGCCGTTGTGACCATGCACTTCTATGTGACTACATTTAAACTGACCATTTATTTCACAACTTTTCTAGACAAAAAAGCCTGCAGCAAAGAGGAAATCTCCAGCAAAGCCTGTCCCTAAAACCAAGAAAGCTGACAGCAGCAGCAACCGAGGGGGAAAAAAAGCAAGCAAGAGCAAGGGTAATAATGCAGCAAATGCTTCGAGATGCAAGACCAAAAGTTAAAATCAGAAAATTGTCTTTTTTTGTCGGGAGTAACATGACATAAAATCATTTGGCATCATCTCAAAACTGAAACCGTACACTTTTTTTGCACGTTTGACATGCTGTAATTTTTCTTCCAGATGAAAGTGAAAGCTCTGATGATGATCAGCCGTTGATCAAGATGATTAAAAAACCACCAACTGAAGAACAGTTGGAGGCGGCAATCAAGGATCTGTTGAAAGATGCCAACTTGGAGGAAGTTACAATGAAGCAGATTACCCGACAAGTATGTTATTTCAAAGCATTTTGAACAGTGGCTTACAGTGGCTCTTTCAACACTGTAGATGTGTGAATGTCATTGCATTAACAAAATATCAAACCAAATTGTGTCTTCAAACAAGTGAGACATTTAACTTTAGATGCATATTCACTCTTCTGATCCATTTGAACCAACTGGAGTCCAGTGATTTTTATTACATGCAGTCAGTTCCTCTTAAGTTCCTGCAGGTGTCCTAGATATAGATATATTCCCCTAATGTTTGACATGCTGAAAAGTTTCCAAGTACTTATTTATGAACTTCCTCTTCATTGTAGGTTTATGAGAAGTATCCTGACTTTGATCTGACCAGCAGAAAGGAATTCATCAAGGAAACAGTTAAAGGTGTAAGTACCTCCGAAATACTAAACCAATATTTTATAATCGATTTGTCAGTTGTCACTTTTATAATGGGTAAATTTCTTGTTTTTCAGTTGGTATCCTGAAGTGAAGAAGATGCCTTATTTACAAAGACAGCGAGGGTGAAGATCGTGTAGAAAACTCGATTTTCACTACACTGTTCACTGTTATTTTATATAAGGCTCTCAACTTTCCAGCAAATTCTGCTTTTTTGTATTTTAAAAAGTATTTTCTAACATTTAAAATTTTCATGTTTGACAGTAAATGATCTGGATGGTTTTAGTTGTTGAAATATGCCACATTTCTAAAGCGACCCTTTTCCCATCTTATTTTAATGGCACATAGCCATACATAGTACCTATATTGCATTTTGACAGTCACATTTGAATGCCTTGGCTGTGTCAGTAAGCCCACAAGTTACCATGTCATGCAGCTGCATTACTGTTGTCATGACGATGCCAAGATATTGTATGCAATATTTAGGAAGATTCGATTGGTTTCACCTGTTATTAGTGCTGAGTTTCATTTCTGAGGTCCTAAATGCTGGATGGAAAAAAGAAACTCATTTAGAAATGAATGTTTTGGGCTGTTATTGTATTTCAACGTAAAACATTTGGCAGTGTCAGCTTCCATTTCAGTGTTGCGCTTAACAGAGGAATTTGGGATTTTAATACTAATTTGTAAAGAGCAAAAAGCATTGAATTTTTTTTTTTTTTTTAATCTGTTTTACTCTCGTTTCCATACACATTTTTGTAAATATGCTTTACATGTGCATTTTTTTCATATATTTTTAAAACAAATATATATAACAGTCAGTTTGTGGTTTGAACAACAATTTTGCAAAAATAGGAGTTTGACAGGAATTGCTTAAGTTAGTTCAGTTTTTTAAGTTTCTTTAGCTTATTTTTTGTTGCTTTGGATATAGTAAGTGAAAATTAAATTTGAGTGATTGATAATTAAAATCAGATACATAAACATAATAATAATTATTATGTAGATCTTTTTGGAAGAAATTAAATAAAAATGGAAATGCAAGAATATTTTAGAAAAAAAAAGTGAAAATCAAAATGTGATACAATTAGTTAGAAATGTAGAATATTTTTTCTCTGGTGTTTATTATGAAGGATATTTTTTTGAGAAGTGAATGTGAGCAGGCAGATATCCCTGACAGCTGTTTTGCAGTAGATTTACGATCAAATGATTTACAGTGGAAAGGGCTGGGCGATATAGCTAAAAAAAATGTATCAACGATATAATGTTTCATATCGTTCGGTATCGATAATTATTGACATTTTTTATAACCTTTTTTTTTTTTAAAAACAAAGAGCAATAGAATCATTTTTTTTTTTATTTAACCACTGTATTTTTAGGCTGTGTCAGTAAGCCCACAAGTTACCATGTCATGCAGCTGCATTACTGTTGTCATGACGATGCCAAGATATTGTATGCAATATTTAGGAAGATTCGATTGGTTTCACCTGTTATTAGTGCTGAGTTTCATTTCTGAGGTCCTAAATGCTGGATGGAAAAAAGAAACTCATTTAGAAATGAATGTTTTGGGCTGTTATTGTATTTCAACGTAAAACATTTGGCAGTGTCAGCTTCCATTTCAGTGTTGCGCTTAACAGAGGAATTTGGGATTTTAATACTAATTTGTAAAGAGCAAAAAGCATTGAATTTTTTTTTTTTTTTTAATCTGTTTTACTCTCGTTTCCATACACATTTTTGTAAATATGCTTTACATGTGCATTTTTTTCATATATTTTTAAAACAAGTCATAAGGAACAAACATATCTTAAATCTGAGATGTTACTCGTACCTGCAGGTCAGTGTTGTAGATTAGGTTCTCTGATAAGACATGAGTTAAGGTTGATCTGTTGTATACACTGACCTCAGTAACCAGTTTATCAGTTATCATCAGTTGCTCAGTTATAATGCGTCACAAAAACTACAAAACAAAAACGAAGATGTGTGTTTATTTTGTAATAAATAGATTTTTCATAGAAAATAACCTGTCTGTTTGGTGTTGTGCTTCAAAGTTTTTGTAACAGTTAAAACAGTTTTAATATGTTAACCTGGGGCAGTGTTCTAAACCTTTTGGACAAGAAGGCCACAACTTGTCAAACAGATGCAAAGCCTATTTTCCAAATATCCTCCAATATTTTGGCTATAATTACATCAAAGTTGCTTGTTTTTTAATATATTTTTTTTCTTTTGAAAACATAAACTGGGAACAAAAAATATTGCGAGGGGGGTGTTCTTGATTATCTGTGTTTTAACCATTTTTAATGAAGTTTTTCTTGTGTTATTTTATTAATAATAATATTAATTTTGAATAATTACAAGTCACCCTGTGCCCCATTAGATGTTTTCTGAGGCCCCCTAGTGGATCCTGAGCTCCTAGTTGAGCACCACTGCTTGTCACTAGGGACTCCTAGCTTTAAAAATGTTTTCCAAACAGATGTCCATAGGTAATCAGTGCTTCTAATGGACTTCTCTGTTGAAATGCACCTGCCAGCAAATAATGACAATTGAGAATAAATCCTTACATTATAATACATTGGGTTCATATAATGCAAACAAATCACTATCCTTTTACTAACTAGATAATTCCATTTAGGGAAAAAAAATATTATCTTCACTCCACTCTAACGTTACTTCGTCCTCCTTGTGGCGCAGTTTTATTCGTTTTAGAGCTTTAACATTTCCTGTTATGGCCAGTAGAGGTCGTGGTTTGACGCGTTTTAGCTTATAGCTTTGTTCTGGAGGTTGAAGTTGAGGGGTCACGTTGGCTTACAGTAGCTGACATGATGCAGGCAGAACAGTAACGTTAGAGACTTACAGCCACCTGTCTGTGGAACTCAACAGGAGCCGAATCAGCGTTAAAACAAGCCCTCAGAGAGGAAGGGTAGAACCTGTCATTAGGGTAAGCTATGATTTGAGCGCTATTGTTTTGTGTGTTTATATTGCTAAATTAGAGCATTTTAGAAGCATGGCAGGCCCTTAGTGCTCACTATTTCTGTTAGCTGGTCCAGTAACATGCTGTCAAAGCGCTTCCTAGATAGATGTGCATAGCTTGCCGCCACGTTGAGGCAATGAAATGCGTATTTTTAGGGTGATGCGTTCTATTTATTGTCTATATACGTCAAGCTAATCTAAATAAAACTGGCAGGTGCTTTATACATCAACTATTGCTAATGCTAAAGCCTTAGCAGCTCGGCTAAAGTTAATGCTATGGAGACGTGTAACGTTATTGGTTTCATCTCCTTGCACAACAAAAAGATAATAAATAGTATCTCAGGGATTTTGAAAGGCATGAAATGCAGGACATCGCAGACAACCGAGTATGCAAAACTGTATTAATATGTAGTTCAGTGACTGTTAGCTTTAGCTTTGTTATTTCAGCTCAGATAATTTACAGTTTAATTGACTGACAATAACTGCAGAAGAAACGTGGAAATTGCATCAGCCTGAACACCGCACGTTACAAATATAGTACGTATTCTGTGCAATACCGTAAAAGTACCAAGGTATGCTATGACATTTAGGAAATAAAAATAATATAATATAAAAAATAACATGGTGTTACTGTCTCATACCTCACAAAACCATTGTGCTATCACAACATTGCTTTGTAATTAACTTATATTAGTCTATTAAATAACCTGCAAAACCGTCTGGCATATATGCGTTTTTGTCGTATTAGTGCAAATGGATTTGATTCAGATTAAATTTGATACTTTTCGTGTTTCTATGGTTGTGTTGGAGTTTGACAGTTTATTTATTATGTTGGCTTTAAGTACCTGAGATGTTTTGGCAATTGTTTCCCTATATTAATATAATGTTTTGGTTATACATAATAAACACACACACTAACCCAATTTGTTGAGACAAACAACAAATATTTTTTGTTTTAACAGTCAAACACATAATAAATTAAACAAATATCTAATTTATAATGTTTTATATGCCGATTAAATAGGTCTTAAGGAAACTTTTGGCTTGTCTCCCGAGGCCACAGGAGGGCGCCATTCACTCAGATTGTATTTAAAAACATATGAGACGCAGTGAAAAGGAATAAACCTCCACAAATTCGCAATGTGTTTTCTAAAAGTTTAAACTGTTTTAATTTTTCATGGCTACATCTCTTGTGTGAGACGCGAGTGCAGCAGTCAAATTTGTCTGTCTAAAAAAATGCGTTCTGTGTGAATGGCTTAGTTTCGGTTTTAACCTAATCAAAAAGCGCCAATCTCATTGGTCGGCAAGTTTTTAACGTGGCGCGTCAAACCAAAAAAACGAGCCCGAGGCCGTTTTTTAAAAATGACGCTTTTACGCCTCGCGTTTTGCGCGTCGGTGTGCACACTCACATTGGCGCCCTTTGTTTAGTCACGAGGCGTTAAACGTCGGCGATAATCGCGCGCGATATTCGTCCCGGTGTGAACAAGCCTTAATGCAGCAACTGCGCGTCACATGGGCTAGACTAACAAAACATTAAAATGCAACAACGTCACTTACATCATCATCACCGCATCTCGTGCTCCGCTGGTGACGCTCCCTGACGCACTCCTAATATTTGATTGTACTATTTTTGCATTCAAATGCAAATGTTTATTTTAAATTCGACTATATATTCATTTTTTTTATTCACAATCTCCTCATCACAGGCAGTCACAGCACTAATTTCAGCAATTGTTCATGTTTGTGTGTGCTGGCTGCGTCACTCAGAGCACATGCCTATATCGTGCACTATATCGAACATTTTTTATATCGTTATCGAAGGTGTACCGTCGATAAATATCGATACCATTTTATTGCCCAGGCCTAAGTGGAACATTCTGATGCAAGCGTAAATCCACCAGAGACTGTAGAAGTTCCTTCATTTTGGAAACCAATATTAACTGGTGTATTTTAAGTGCCCTGTGATTGAAAGCATTGCTGTAGTTTGTGCTGTTACTATTGAACTGTTTGTCTTTTTTTGATGGTTCTGTCCAAAGCAGCAACTTTGCGTTGCACTCTAAAGTTTTATCCCAGCATGCATGATAGTTACCAGGTTCTTGTGTCACCAAATTGTCAAACAGGGTTGCTTTGCACAAACCGGTCCGTCTGTCAGCTGCACGTGTTTATCAGCCTGTGCCTGCACATTCCCTTAAGATTTTAAGTCATTGCCTGTTTCCATGCTGTAGCATTTGGGTTTGCCAAGATTTGCAGACTTTGAATGGTGTCTCTGGACTCCGTTCTCTTGAAAATCTCCCAGATTCGGCAATAGAGGGAGAGAAGGAAGTGTGCGAATTAGGGGTGAATTTAAAAACTGCATTGTGCAATTTACATGTTTGCATACAATTTATTTTTTTTATTTATTTATATATTTTTTTCAAGTTGAGTGTTGATCATCTATTTAAAAATAAATAGCAATTAAATTTAAGTTTGGGTTAAGTTGTTAGGCCTAATTGTAACCTTATAATGTAAAAGGGCTCCCTATAGTTTTAAGCATAAGCTGAGGTAGATTTTTATCACTAAGAAAATGTAAACTATAACTGAATGTATAAAGAAAGAGCAACTTGTTCAGTAAACCATTACAAAAAAAATATATATATAAATAATTTCCCCCCCCTGCTGTACCGAAATCATACCGAACCGTGACGTTAAAACCGAGGTACGTACCGAACTGTCATATTTGTGTACCGTTACACCCCTAGTGCGAATATAGTAAAAAAAGAGACGGTTAAGACTCAGTTGGTCTCTCTCTAAGC